ACAGTAAGGGTGGCCAGGATCTGGAATGGGCTTCCAAGAGAGGTGGTGCTATCACCTAGCTTGGAGGTCTTCAAGAGGAGGCTAGATAGTCACCTGGCTGGGGTCATCTGACCTCAGTCCTCTTTCCTGCCAGGGGCAGGGGGTCAGACACGATGATCCATTGTGGTCCCTTCTGACTCTACAATCTATGAATCTATGATTGCCTGCCAGGCCCAGGTGGGGACTGCATGGCCACCCAGACTGTGGTACGGGCACTGCACCTCTGGGCCAGCTGCCAGCAGGCAGTGGGTGAAAGTTGGCCTTTGGACAGCACTGCTGTCAGGTCTTCTGGTGCCCCCATTCTGCCATCTGGGCAGCCATTGCCCAGAAGATGTGCTCATTTTAGTGGCCCACTTTGAGCTGTTGAAGAGTGTCCTCTTGGCCCCAAATGGCCAGGAGGTCAGCCTCCTTGTCTACCCTCCAGAGGGGTCCCTGGTGCTAGCCCAGGGCAGACTCCTCTGCCTGTGTCTTGCCACTTGCCTCACCAGCAGAGATCCTAGTGTTTCCTGTTTAAAAATTGCAAATTCTCTGATAAGAAACTCAAATCCCCTCATTAAAATACCCATAATCCATGTTCTTCTGCTATTAAAATGAAACAGCACTATATATAGAGATATCAGTTGGGGAACTTTTTATTGATGCATTTACAATTTTAAAGCAATTTGGAAGCATTCCAAATTGAAAGCCTCGCAGTTGGGAAGCCTGTAGTGCCTCTATCATCATCATAAAATGAATTCTAAATAACTTTGGCATTTGCATTTTTTAATCATAAAAACATCAGAGCTGCCCCTGCCCCCTTCTTTCACCGGGATATGGGGTGCTGAGCTGCACTGATATATTCAATCCCAACTGAGCCCCCACAAGTGGCCCTCACTCCTGACCCATAGCCCCTCCCTGCCCTCACTAGCTCCTTCCTGGCAGCAGCTCCATCCCAGCACCAGGACACGAGTTCAGCTGTAGCTGTTCCACCTGCAGTGCAAGCCCTTGGTGCTATCCTCATTGTGCCTGTGCCCAGGCCCCAGTGATCCCCATCCCATTCCTGGAAAGCCCTCAACTGGGACTCAGGGACTGGGTTGAGTAAACCCCTTCTTTTCTAGGCCAGTCTCCCCTGCACAGGCTGCTTTAGGGGGGTATGCAGTAGCAATGCGTAGGGGGTGCATGTGCGGGACTTCTGGAAGTGGCGTAGCTGCTTTTTGGTGAGTGAGACTGGCCACAGGGGAACCCACCCCCACACCTAGTCAGTGAGACTGGTCGCGGGGGATCCCCCCCCC